CACACACACACACACACACACACACACACACATCCAAGCCACCTTACAACGATGCCGTCCGACCCGAGCCATACAGTTTGCCTCGTCTTAATCGTTCACTTTCAGCTGTGGAAATTACCCAAAACTTATAACAGCCAGGCACAGGCGTGTTTATATCACAGTTTGCGTGCCTGTTTTCTGCAGTCGGATATTTTAGCGGCCAAATTTAGCTCACCGTTCGTAAGGAGGCTTGTCAGTAATTTAGAAGAGGACGCGTAGCTCTTTCCATCATAAAGAAATAGAAGATACAATGTCCGATCAGCAGCAGATCAATGCAAAGTTGCGCAACATTTTAACCATCGTACACATGTCAGAAACATAAATTTGCACATTTCACAAATTATTGTACGTTGTTGCCTGTCTTTTCAAGTTTCAGATAAAGAAACCAGAGTTGAAAAATCTGTCAGAATAATGAAGCTATGTTTCTTTTCTTTTTTTTTTTTTTTTTTAAAGTGCCCCAAAATAGCGGGTTTTAACTTTAACGCGTTGTTTCTTAATACGCGTCTCCTAAGAATTGAAGTTGCCAGATATTCTCCTGTGAAAACAAGTGGGAGCAACTCGACAGCATGTTGGGCTATCACGGCTTGACAACAAGTGATCGAGAGCGGCCCTTGGCCCGACTCTGAGTGGCTTCATCCTGGCAACCTTTATCAGAATCTGCCATCTGCAATCAAGTACCAGCCAAAAGTGCATCGCGTAAGTAAGGCAGGTTAGCTAGCTAGCAGGTAGCAGCAGTTTCTCAGTTGGGGAATTACTTTTACCAGCACAGCAACAAAGATACGTCAACTATTTGCCTTTGCTTTAAAGCTACGCTGCCGGATTGGCCTATATAGTGACGTACTTCAGCTGGAAACGGTTCTTTTTTTTTTCAGTAAGGGGTTTTACGGCGCTCGCAACGGTTCGTCATTCAAACTCAGACGAATAATCCCCCACCCCACCCCCAACCAAAATTCCTGCTGATGTCACAGAATACGATGACTGGCGAAGATGACAGAATTGACACCACGACTAACTCTTAAACCATTGAAAAGAAACGTC